TAATTGCCATGGCAACGCTAACTTCTGCAATTCTTGGGCTTGTGGGCCGGGAGATGAGATCGGGGAGCTAGGAGCGTTTTCACTCTGTTGTTTTCAAATTGCTTTTAGCAATCCCTCATACTTTTGTGTTACACTTCAATGGGCGTACGCCGCGGCCCCGCGGCCTCCACATTTTCCATTTGCCGTGCCATAATTACAGGTGCAGCACAGGATTGCTCGCAATTGCATTTCGTTTTTCAGCTTTCGTAATCAGACAATTTTGAAGTGTTGTGCATTTAAGTTTCGCTTTAATCAGGCCCCTGGCGGGGCAGGACAAACTTTTTGGTCAAGAGACAAAAGGCACAGATAACAGTATGAAAACAGGAAGTTGCCCCAAGCCACAGACCAGAACTGTCTCTCTCAAATGGCCGACAGCTGGGGCAAGCAAAATGGGAAAAATATTGAAAATGTTTTATAATTACACTTTTCTTTTTAATTCTCAAAATATATTAGTTACTTTAAAATTGTTGATTTACCATTTTATCTTAATTCAAAGGGTTGTTTACATTTTTGTAATAAACTGGGAGGTCACATGGGCTTCAAAATTTGAACATTTCCAAATCCAGCTTACTCGCGTTTTCTTAAAAATACACTTATTCCGGAGGACAATTTTATTAAGCGATTTTTCTTAATCTTTTTGAATATAAACTTATATTAAACATTGAAAATCGAGATAAATTAAAAGATTCGCAGGAAGTTTAAATATGTATTCTTTTTTTTTTAATTTTCTATATATTTATTATATCTACTAGATCCCTTTAGTGTGCGTTCTTGGTAAAAAATAATATTTTCAAACATTTTTACTAAGAATTTGCTTATAATAATAAAAAACGTGTATCTAAGATTTAGTTGATGCAATAAAACTATTGATAAAGTATAACTATATTTTCATTGAGGATTGTAATATTTATGTATTTAAAAAATATCATACATAATACAAATGTCAATTGCTCTAAGAAAACCCTTAAAATAGACAGAATGGCAGTTCTGTCTTAAGCACTAGATTCCAGATACAGAATCCAAGCACCGACATTCGGTAGTCTAAAACTGTTGTTGTGAAAAAGCCAAAGTTTGAGATAGAGTTCATTCCGTTATTTTTTGTGTTAACTGATTTCCATGTTGTTGTTAGTTTCGCGAGCTATCTATGTACCTCAAGTAAATACACACTCTTGCGCTTGTGGATTCACTTTTCGAACTTCTGTTTGATACAAGGAAAAACTTTTAAGCAATTCAACACCCAATTTTTGAGCTTTTATCGTACGGATTGCTCGGTGAAAAGTCTGCGTTTGAAACGAATTTAATTCCGAAATGTCGCTTCACCTTCAAGCCATTTCTGTTTAAATGCATGGAAAATATGCTTAAAGTTCGTTTCAATTGCAGTATCAATTTAATTTAATGGTCATCGAACTCCGTTTGCTTGTGCTGAAATTTGGTCAGGCAAATCTGGCATTGCCAGAAAATAGAATGCATTTTCCACGAAATACATGAATCAAGTTAATCAAAGACCAAAGCTATGAGTTATCAGAAATCTATTTGAGAGTAAATTAAATTTCGACTTCAATGGCAGAGCATTAAAATATTTTCGGAATTAAGCAAGTATTAAAGACCTCAACTCGTAGGGTATTATCCCGACAACGAACGAAATTGCACAAGTGCTTTTAGCCTTCGTTTTGAGTGAATCCCCAACAATAGCATACGGATCATACGGGACAGAGTGGCAGATTATTCAACAATGCCACTGAGAAGCGTCTGTCAAAGAGCTGCAGACTCGAGTGTCAAATGTATTCTAGCATTTCAAACATTTACATTTGGCATATGGCATTGGCAAGTGTAATGCCAGCCCGAGGCTTTCCTGAGATTAGGCCAAGATGATGGCGCTGCCAAAATAGCCACTTGGTCAGGGCCATCTCAGACGGAGGGAAGGTCCTCAGAATTTGTAATTGTAATTTAATTTGCATAAACTTAAGCCGTCTTGGCTTCGGGTAGCACCTAGCGAGCACATGTCGAATTAAATGAATCATTTTTATGGTCATCCCAAGGTTGCCCCACTGAAATTTTAAAACAATATCTTTTAATATTTATGGCAAAAGTTTCGTAATGGCTTTGTTCGGGCTCATGAAAGGATTTGGCTAAGAATCTGTTCAAAAAGCAGAAGTACTCAAAACAAAGAATGCTCTCAGTGAAATTCCGAGAAAGAGGAAATGACAGTTTTATTAAAATTTTCCCAAAATTACTAAAGATTTATTTTGGAACGCTAAGCTAAACAATGAAGCCCTCTCTTAGTAAACATTTTCATTTCCTAAAAGTCTAATATTACGCTTACAGAAAAAGAAGACTTATGCATTTTTAATTAACAATTAGTCCAGTGAGCCATTAAAACTTTATATTTGCAATTTACGTGCACTAAAAAAAACTTTATCTAAATATTAGAACACAAAGAAATTGCCAATAATTAACTTAAGGTAGATTTTTGTTTAATTACAGCAATATTAAGGTGAAGTGCAAATTTTATACAAAATCTTACCAATAACGTTGAAAGAGATTTTAAACGAAAGTAGAAGAAATTTGAACATAACCTCTATAAAACTAATTACATTAGTTCTTATTCAACGATTCTTAACAACATATTATTTTTGTAAAAAAGTTAACAGTCTTTATTTTTTTTAAAGATTTGAACTCGAAATTTTTGTACAAAAAAAAAAATTACCATCCGCACGTTTTAAAAGGATCCAAAAATTCCACTATACGTACAAGATTATAAGAACATCGCATTTAACCATATAACTCATATAAATTACATGCGATTTCCGTAATTTTAGAAAATACTTATAAAACCCAGAAAAATTGTATCTATTTATTGAAGCTATTAAAGTTACGGCGATTTTAAATGGCCTCAGGAAAATTTTTTTGTTTTGTGTAATAATTTCCAGTTTAAAGTAGTTTTATTTTAAATTTTTCTGTGTGTGATATAAACAAACAAAAACATATTTTCCTATGCTGGAATAGTATGCCATAACTTTTAATTTAACGTTTATATATATTATAATTAGATAAGTATTTACATATAAAATGTTTTCACAATCGCTTTTTGCTTATTATGAATATATTTTATTTGCACATTTGTGGAAAAACAAGATAATTGATTTGGCAAACATTATATTCATATCAGATCGGTATCATCTGTCAACTGGGCTTATTGTTTAGCCATAACGATATTAATATTTTTGCACAAATTGCACCCGTAGGGTATCCCATTTGCATGAACATAAATATTCAATTGGCATTTTTCATATGGTCGGAAATGAATTGATTGCGTCTGAAATAACTTCTTGGCCATGATTTATTCCACAGCCAACTGTTGCACGTGATCCAAGGAAAAGTAATGACTGAAGGACCGGTCCTACACTTAGGGCGAGGTATTGTTACTTTATGTTAATGCATGACGTTGTTAGGCATCTCGAAAATGTACAAAAGAAATTAGCAAACTTGTAAAATAAGAAAGAAAAGAAAGCACAGAAAGGCAACGAATTCAACGGCAACTGTTGACAGTTATCCTGGCACAAACACGCATTGTAATGTCTAACAAGCTTCACAGTAGCAGCAATAGCAGCAGCAGCAAACATCGCATGTCACTCAACGGCCTCAGAGTCCTGACAGGTCCTGCGTCCTCGAGTGAACGAGCGTCTGTGCGACGGGCTTTTGTCATTTACATATTTACACTTTATTCCCGGTGCTTAGGACTGAACTTTGACATGTGGTGGAGATGCCCTTGCCATACCACACGTCCTGCCCCAAGGTTTCCCTGCTCTGAAAAAGATATCACAACAATATACTATGAGAAAGATTTGTAGGGCTCCTGAAACTATGAACATAGTTACTTTATTCGCCTAGTCCATGGGTCTGACCGGCCGTATGATCGCCGACTTATTGGTAAATAATGGTTGCGTGTAGACAAATTCGATGTTTACAAGGATGTTTGCGTTCATGATGATCAATATGGCGTTAGTATAAGTATAGTAGCTGTGGGGACTATTCGAATAAAATTCGATTTCTTTAAACTAGTGGCAAATAGCATGAAACAACGTTAAAAGGATATCAAAATGTTCCTTAAAAACGTATAACGCTTTGTTAGCCTGCGTGGACTTTTAAATTTGAATGTTTTCCGCTAATCAGCTTTAAACTCAATATAAATATATTTTTTTCTATTTATAAGCTTTATGATATAATCGCCCTGTATTAGCTTTAAAGAGAAAGACTAGTTTGAATAAAAAGTTGAAACGGAGCGACAGGGGTAGATTGACGACTTACTTAATGATGCTGATAATATATTATGTATAAGGTCAAATGTGACTTCTCCACTATAATAATGACTAAACATTCTTCGCCTAAGTGTGACGCATGCAGCTTATGCACATAGTCCACACCGAATACTTAAAACTAGCCTTATACCACCCCAGCATTGTGCTTTAATCTTTATTATCTTTAATTAAAGGAGAATAAACTTTCATCTTCAAAGTTATAAGTTATACGACTTTTCTCCGTGAAGTGGAAGTGGTGTAAGTGAAAAAGGGAGGGGATACTCTCCTCCGTTCTGGCACCCGATATTGTTTTGCATTATGCCGGGGGCGGAGGCAATGCAATTTCAGGTTGTGAATGCAGGCCAACAAGACCTAGAGGCGCTGCCATCAAAGTGGCGGCGAGGTAAATGCGATTTCCACCGAAAAGTCCAGGATAACGGCACATAACTGATTCACTTTAATGCAATTTGCATGAATCCGGCGGCTAACAGTCTGCTAACAGGACTCTGTTGCTCTCTCTCCTTCTGCTCTGCTGGTGCTGTGTTTATTGCGCACAGCTCATTCATAAAAGCGAAGAGAGCTGCTCGCGAGAGAGCGGAGCGGAGATTGAGTTGTTGCAATAAATACAAAGGACCCAGCATCCGCAGCAACAGTGGCGTCGAAGTGCTGGTCGCAGAGTGTCGTGTCGGAGGACTTAGTTGGCCCGATTCAGTTATCGCGTAGCCGCCGTGTGTGACGGACAGAAGCCGACGCCTGGACCCAAAGTGTTTCGGGCGCCAAGTGCATTCGATTAACATTAAATGTAATTAGAGACCCTCGATCTCACGCTCTCGCCGCTTCTATTAATTAAGTGCAAAACAAATAGAAAGTGAGCAGCGGCGACCAAACTAAAAGCCATTAAAGCGCCTGCGAATTATTTATGGCATTCCATATAAAACGAGCAGCAAGTGCAATTGGAATTCAATCAAGTTGAACGGAAATTGTCGCAAATTAAAAGTAAATTAAATATTTCCCCGGCCATTCGGACGGCCTTTATTAGAAGTTATGGCTGCCAGCCAGCTTTGTTGTTCCATCCATCAGTGTGTGTGACAGTCACGTGTGTGCGACTGTGTGTGCGGGACTGCCATTGCCGCTGGCATGGCGCTAATTTCTCACACTTCAAACGTGGCCGGGACTGGCAATGAATTTCCGCTCCAGCCTCCTGCGGATACTTCCATTTTCTTTTGCTTTGTTTTTCCAGCCCCCTCGCTCTGATTTCCCGTTGGCGCCCCTTCACCTGCTCGAGTGTTGTTGTTTTGTTAGCTAAGCTTAGCTTAGCTTTGCCCTCGCTTGAGCCATAAATTAAATAGATTGACGGTGCATTTACCCTGCCCATTGAGTAAACACTTGGACCAGGGAATGGGCACCTATCGGGGTCTCCATTCCATTCCTTTCCTTTCCATGCCATTCCATTCCATTCCTCCTGCGAGCCTTTATGATTAGTTAATGGGATTCAATTTCACTTGAAATTGGCCGCCACAGAACGTAGCAATCGCAGCTGCCGCAGTTTCCTTTCACTGATTACATAAGGCACGTTCTGGGGGAAACACTTGTTGGGTTTTGCCCGCCCAACCAGACACGTAGCCTCGCAGCAAGGAGTTGCCAAGGAGGAGCTGGGTGGCCGGGGAAAGTGAATCACAGTTGTGCCATTAGGAACTCGGCGAAATAAATTCAATATAAGCGGGGCCTAATGGCAGTAGTTGAGTTTCCATTTACATTCAGCCTCCATAAATTGGCATAGCTGCGAAAACCGTAGCACACTTAAGAGGGCCCACATTTAGCGGGCGGAGCATCAGCATCAGCATTGTAAATGCAGCATTTCACTCTCGAGTGGCGAGATGAAAAGGTACAAGTGTGCATTCTAAAAATAACAAACAACTCGACTGAGATAAAAACAGCAGCTGCGACTGAGGTACAAAGTGCTAACGTAAACACAGCCGGAGAAGGAGCGTAAACAAACATCGGAGCAGCCTGAAACGGCGAACAAACAGCGGCGAAGGTTGTCCTGTCGGGTCCTTGCCATTCTGCTGCTGTTAGAGTGTGTGTGTGTGCTTCTGTGTGTTTGGGCTAAAATCAAGAGTCAAAAGCAAGTGAAAAAATGTGCAAGTAATGTGCAGCGAGTAAAGTGCAATGCCATCCGTGAAATCCGCCGAAAGTGAGATTCTTCTTGGGATTATTAGGAGCGACAGCATGACAAACGGCAATTCCTTGAGGACCTCTCTTCTGCTGGCCACCATCCTGGGATTACTCTGCCGGACCAAGGGTGAGTCTGGAGTCACTTCATCTTCGGCTTAAGCAGCTCCATGCCGCTGATTGCTTTGCCTGAATTATGGAGCGGCAGACGGCATAAAAAGGGAGAATTCATTTTAAAGCCTTATTAAATCTGTATTACATAAATTACGGCAAGCGTTTCACTCTGAATTTTTATGAGCGTTTTACGCTTTCGCATTTTACATTTCACATTTTCCATTTGCCAGTCGCTTTTCGCCGGTCGCCGCTTTTATGTCATAATGAGTGCAGCCTTTTGATTTAATGACAACTGTTTGCCATAAAACAACATCCATATGCACATACAATGCGAGTGTGCTTGCTTTTATGTGGCCTGTGATTTATTTCACTTCTTATTTTTATGATAATTTATCAAATATGCATAATAAAATGCCAGCAACGCGACCATTTATGGCGTCTGGGAATTTTGCTGAAATTTCATATGTAAGGTGGCAACAGCTTGCCGATCAGATTCCGTACGCAGTATGCTTACAGTAAAGTGGACCTTGCCTTAAAGTCATTGGATATATAAATTTATAAACTGTGTACACCATAGGAAAATAGCTTGGAAGTTTTGCTAAAGGTCGGTTTATTTGGTCCAGTAGGAAACATAAATAAACGTTTAAGTGAATAACTTAACCTGGAGAACTTTGATTTGTATGCATTTATAATTTGATGAACATCGTCTGTATCGTCTATAATACATAATAATACATACATAGGTTTCTATAATATTTTTATACCCTTGCAGAGGGTATTATAATTTCAGTCAGAAGTTTGCAACGCAGTGAAGGAGACATCTCCGACCCTATAAAGTATATATATTCTTGATCAGCATCACTAGGCGAGTCGATCTAGCCATGTCCGTCTGTCCGTCTGTCCGTCCGTCTGTCCGTCCGTCTGTCCGTCTGTCCGTCTGTCCGTCCGTTTATATGCAAACTAGTCTCTCAGTTTTAAAGCTATCTGCATGAAACTTTCCCAAAAGTTGTCTTTCTATTGCAGGTAGTATATAAGTCGGAACGAGCCGGATCGGACGACTATAGCATATAGCTCCCATAGGAACAATCGGAAAAATAAATGAAAAAAAATTATAACTTTGCTGTTTTTTAATTTTTTGTTTAGTTCTTCGACATTTAGTAATGGTTAAATATTTCCGATTTACGGTTTAAATTTCATCAAAATCGGACGACTATAGCATATAGCTCCCATAGGAACAATCGGAAAAATAAATGAAAAAAATTATAACTTTGCTGTTTTTTAATTTTTTGTTTAGTTCTTCGACATTTAGTAATGGTTACATATTTCCGATTTACGGTTTAAATTTCATCAAAGTCGGACGACTATATCATATAGCTCCCATAGGAACAATCGGAAAAATAAATGAAAAAAAATTATAACTTTTCTGTTTTTTAATTTTTTGTTTAGTTCTTCAACATTTAGTGATGGTTAAATATTTCAGAATTATGGTTTAAATTTTATCAAAATCGGACGTCTATATCATATAGCTCCCTTAGAAATAATAAAAATATATAAAATAGCTATCAAATAATTGAGCTGCAAATCATCATAGCTTCAATGTTTTTAAACATATACGAAAGTAAATCATAATTTTAATGTTTTCAAAAAGGGTGCAAGGGTATATGAACTTCGGCTTGCCGAAGTTTGCTTTCTTTCTTGTTATGAATATATAACATATCAAGAGTCGATGCACATATATTGCCTGATTGTTTCTGTGATATTTTGAGCATTAACATCTATCTGTTTTTTTTTAATAAAAATTAAAACCATATTTGGATTTAAATTTTATGATGCAATTGTATTGTAGATATGTGCATGTGCATTCAAATGTATTAGAGAACAAATATAGCAATATAATACAAAAATACCTTAACGTAAAATTTAATTAAATTTATAACAAATTTAGAATGATTGGTTTTAATAACACAATAAAAGACCAGTTTTAAAAGAAGAACAAATATAAAAGTTAAAGCTTCACAGATTTAAGCCGGGCTTCTGTTGATAGACACTTGGGTGCTCTAAGCTCGCTATTATTACTTTCAAAACCCACCGTAAAAATTATAATTATGTTTTCCCCAAAAAATATTGAAAAACGAAAAAAAGTTGAGCTTACTTAGAAACATATATTTGTTGATTTTGTAAACAATTACTTAATAAAAAAACTTCGGTTATTTTGAAGGTATTTTTTTTTAAATACGTGAAAGGCCTGTTTTTATAGCCTTATTTAGGAATTGTTCATAAAATCCATGAGTTTTGCTTTTCAGGACAAACCGAATCTTAAAAACCTTTGCAGTCAATGGAGGAATCCGAAATGATATAAAACCATTGTGTTAGGCAAAAAAAATTAGATATGCGCATAATTCCTCAAAAACAACTAAAATAGTTTGTCCTATCATTCTTATACCTGTTTAAGATATAGTCCAATCCGCAAAGTTTTATGACCCTAGCATTTACTCTAATCAGCTTGAGACCATATAGTCAGTATGACATATATATTTCATCCTTAGGATATAGTCAACCGATTTTAATTTACCTCAAGTAACACTTTAAAAGTACTATAAAAACATATAAAAACACACCAAAAACAGTTTTTAAATAATAAAAAAGAACAGAAAGGAGGGCAACCTCGGCAAGCTCAAGCTTGCAGCTATACTAAAAACAAAAATTCTCTAAAAAATATAATTTATTTTTCATTTATTTTTTTACGCTTGCAGAGCTTATTATAATTTCGGTCAGAAGTTTTCAACGCAGTCAAGGTAACATTTCCGAACCTTTGGAGTATATATAAATTCTCGATCAGCATCCGTCCGTATGTCCGTCTGTCCGTCCGCGAGCAGAAGTATATAAGTCGGAACCCGGCGACTTATAGCACATAGCTCCAATAAGAACAATCGGAAAACTAGAAAACTAGATGCAAACTCCGGCAAGCCGAAGTTCATATACCCTTGCAGCTATTGCAAAAATTAAATATTACTAGCGTGAATGTCTAAAAGCATTGAAACTATGATGATTTGCAGCTCAATTATTTGAGTTCCTATGGCAGCTATATGATATCGTTTTCCGATTTTAATAAAATTAAAAGCGTAAAAAGTGCGTATGACCGTTTTTTCACACTTCATGAACGCTCGTTCATAATAATTTACCATCATTTTGGGGTTGGATTCCAAACGAACGAATTAGTTAGCTTGCAAAAAAAAAAAAATACATATTTTTCTTCCTCTTCCCCTTTGTTTCTCTTGTCTTTAAATTCATTGTGATTAGGTTATGTTAGCCCGGACGGCCCTCGAATAAGCCAATATGGCCCTTAGCTCTTCGGATGGTCAAGTATGAACCTAGCGAATGGTACGGGGTGTGTCGAAGTCGTTGTGGATCGAGGTGCTTTTGGCGAAGGCAAGTAATTTTCCCGGCATACTTCTGGAGGCTTCTTCTAGCGATGCCAGTACCGGGGAGCCCGGGTATCTTCTTTTTGCCCTTAAGAGAACTGGGCAGTTACAGATAAGATGTTCCAAGGACTCGCACGTCCCAGCGTTATCGCATTCCGTGCAACTGCCATTGTTGGTGATGCCTAGTTTGACTGCGTTTAGACAGTGACCTGTGAGAATTCCCATTAGTAGTATGCAGTCCTTCCTTGGTAGGTGCATTACTTAGTGACTAAGTTTCTTATTGCGCTCCTTGCATATGATTCTTGAGATTTTGCAGGTTTTGGTTATTAACCACCTGCTTTTGGTTAGCGCCTCTGCCCGTTTCTCTAGAGCGTTTTGGTTCGTTCTTGGGCAGATGGGCACGTCCTCTGTTCTGTCATTTGCCGGCACTACGCCGTCCTTTGCTAGTTCGTCCGCGGTCTCGTTGCCATTAATGCCTTGGTGACAGTAGATCCGCACTATCTTAGTTGTGTTAAAGATATCTAAGTCTTACCTGATAACCAGTACACTTTTGGAACAGATCATGGACGACTGCACGGATCTTATCGCTGCTTGTCTGTCCACAAATAAGTTGAGCACGTCATGTGGACCTTCTATGTTATGTGCGACCTCCGCTGCTTTCCTGATGGCAAAAACTTTTGCCTGGAATATGCTGCTTTGGGTCAGTAGCTTATAGGGTAATCTGATCTTGGAGACGTCGGCGTAAATATTTTTCCTGGATTCCTTTCCAATGTTTGGGGGATCATATAGTCGGTTGTTTTGACCAAGTCTCGGCCTATTGAATTGTGCCCGTATTCTTGCAGCGACATATTGCCTGCTGCAAGAAGGCGTTGAGCTGGCTTACCAGTGTTTGCATTAAATCAGGTCACATGCCCCACGTGCTGCTAATCATCTTCTTCTTTTTCACCCGTTCCTCTACATTGGATCTCCATGTCAGCTTGCTGTCTATTAATAGGCCGAGGTATTTGACCCGGGGTTTTGGGGTCAGCCTGGGGTCCATTTCGTCACCTTGTGTCTCTTACTGAGTCCTACCTTTCCTACCCAATCACATATCTCCCCGAGAGTTGATTACATTATGGAACTGAAGGCAAACTTTCGTCAAAATTGTGCCAATGTCGTCTGCATAGCCTGTTGTTTACGGGACTCTCCTGTCCAATCTCTTGATTAGGGGTGAGAGGACACCTCTGTGTGCCCCATTCTGATTGTACCCGTCTGCAAGGCTTCTTATCCAGAGGTTTATGGCGGGGTGCGTGTTGGTCGCTTGTTGAATGCGCACTCCTTTGGCATATTCCTTGCTGTAGAGTGCCTTTTCGATTGTAGCTACTAACCAGTTTAGTGCCGTCTGCACCAATTTCCCTTTGGTGTACTGGTGGCTGGGTGGCTGCACTTTCCTGCTTTCAGAAGGAATACAATCCATGAGGTCCGTCATTGGATAGAGATACAGCTCGTGTTCAGACATGCTGAGTAAATTGTGTAAAGCCATGGGGTGATCTCTTCCTTGGTCATCTGTACCGTGGTGCTTTTAGGTGCTTTCAACGCCGCAAAGGAGTCTATAGCCCATTGGATTCCTTCAGGGGATACTGGTTGGGGGTTGCTAAGTCTTGATGTGCATTAGCATCCGGAACTTCTGAGCATCCCGTAAAGTTAGCTTGCATTAGAGCTGTAAGGGCTTCTGTATTGTCCTCAGTCCACTGTCCGTCGTCACTTTTGAGCTGACTCTGTCCGGTAGGTTGCTTTGATAGCAGCTACCGCAGTCAAGCCGTTTCTGGGACCTTCTCGATGCTAAAGCAGAAGTTTATTCACAAGTTGCTTTGTGCCCCTTCAAACTTCCTTCTTATACTCCTTGAGCTGGATCTTGTACTCCTCGTTGATGGTCTCATCTTCTGCCTGTTTTGAATAATTCTCTCAGGTTGGTTCTTTGTAGTGATAGGTCCCGGTTCCACCATGGTGGCTTCCTCATTCTCGAGATTGGGCAGGATGCGTAATAGAGTGATAGAGTGCGGTTGTTACTGTGCCCGGGTGCGTCGCGAGTCTTGATCCTGTCAAAGTCGAACAGAATATATTTATGTTCTGAGAAAGATGGTCTCTCGAGAACTTTCCGTCCAGATACCAGAGTATTTTGTCCCGCTACAAGGGTTAGGGTGCACCTACCCTTCACGTTTGCTATCTCAAGGTTAGTTGATAGTATAAATTCTAAGAGTAACTCACCTCTTTCGTTGGGCTCCCCCAAACCTTATGGTATGCCTTGGCATCTGTGCCCACGAGAGGTTGCGGGTCTTTCGGGCTGGCCTCTACCAAGCTTTTAAGTTCCTCGGGTGGTGCTGGTCTGTCGTGCGCCATATAGCAGGAAGCTACCAGAAGGCGCTTCTCCTCGCTCTGTAGCATCACGACAGATAGGTCAACAGAGCTTTAATGAAACATAAGGTTATCGTGGATACCCTTCCGCACTAGATGGCGGTCCTGTTCCTGCTTACCGGTGGTGAGTAGAGTGGGTTGTGATTTGAGTCCGGCCACGAAATAGCCTATGGCGATCTATAGATCCTAGATCATAGCTATGTCTACGGATCCCGGATCCAAGGCAAAGAGGAGCTCCGCCGACGCGATCTTGCTCTTATGGAGACCGAGCTGCAGTACCTTTAGCGTCATGGGTACCTGGCTGTCCTCATCACGACGGGTTGAATATCACTGTCAGTTCACTGTCCTCCTCCTCATCCGAGTCGACCAGCTTCAGGTACTGGGTAGCCTCCATCACACTATTAAGGCCCAGGTCGTCCTCCACCTCGTCTGCCTGAAGTGTGTGGGAGTCCTCCTTGTCTCCGATGTGGCGCTTTTGAGGAGCAGGCAAACGCTACCCATGCCCCATGCCATCTTCCCGTACTTGGGGTTTAGAAGGTCCTCTGCCTCCTTGCAGATTTGGAGGACTGCACTCTTGCCAAACTTTTTTGGGTCATGGTCTCGCGATGTGCCTCCTTTGATCGCAATGGGGAAGAACATTTCATTTAATTCTCTGAAATTAGAATGAAAGGAAATACGATTTTGGTGAGTGAACTTTTACAAATGGAGAGCAAAAACAGGCGAACGTATTGTTCGTAAGCCAAGAAAAATGTTCTTGAACGATTTTTATCAAATTTAAACCGTAATTCTAAAATAATAAACTTTTTCTAAATACCGAAGAACGAGCAAAACAAAATGAAAATCGGCAAAGTTACAATATAACAAAGGAGTCCGATCCGGCTCGTTCCGAGTTATATACTACCTGCAATAGGAAGACAACTTTGAGGAGTGTTTTATGCAGATAACTTTAAAACTGCGAGACAAGTTTTCGTAGAAACGTAGTGATGCTAACCTAAGGTTGGAAATTTCTCCTTTACTGCTTTGCGTGCTTTTGACTGATATTATAATACCATCTGCCAGAGTATAAAATGCCAAAAGAATTGTAGCCAAATTTGTTGTTTTTGAATGGACTTAACGTACAGTTGTGTAACTATATAATTTGGGGTTTTTGTTTGTTGATTTGGTAAATTCTGGCTTTACTACTAGAAGTTTAAATTTAATGTTCAAGATGAATGAGATGCAAAATTTGTATAAATATTCTATTGGAATTTTAAAAAATTGTGAATTGTTTTAGCACATAGCATTAGCATATATTCAAATGTTATATATCTCGTATCAAAAAAATAGTAAAATTGATATGAATTTGTAGTAAGCTTACATATTAGAAGAGCTACATTAATTTTCCTTTATAAGGCAAAGCAAAACCTTTTCATATATTTGTTTAATTTCTAATTCAAATCATTTGAATCAAATGTAACTTAATGTTTTTTCGGACTCTACGAAAATAATTATATTGGGAAAGTTTGATGTTTGTTTTTCTTCGCAGTGAAAATGGGTACATGAAAAAAAAGTGCTTTCACCACCGAAAAATGTTTTCTTGATCAAAAGCTTTGCATTCTGGAATTTTTAACTTTTACTTCTTGAAACATAAATGGAGTTTTGTCGTTAAAGCTTCCTTAGTGCGTAAATGTTAAGTGTCTGTTTAAAAGCGATCGAGCTTTGTTGATTTTGAGTGTGAATTTGTTTGATTTTTGAAAAAGAACGTTTACAAATTGAGAGCAAAAACAGGCGAACGGATTGTTCGTTAATCAAGAAAAATGTTCTTTATTTTTTTGCGTTATTTTTTTCTGGGTGTACAACAGATAATACTTGTACTTATAGTTTTTTCCACGTACTATAAAATATGTATAATTTTGTATTTGTAACATTATTTTGTTTTTAAATATACGTTCTTTGATGCCTAAAAGTATAGGGTACCCTACAGCAAATACACATTTGGCTTTTTACTGACTTTGTCCGTATGTGAAAAGTCAAATCATCAGGGGCTTACTTTGCATTTGTTCTTGCCTTTCCGCAGCCTTGCCCTTTGAGTATGTAGATGAGCACGAGGACTTCAACTACGACCTGGACACGGCGCAATCCCAGGCCAAGTACGATGCCCGTCTGCTCTCCCAGCAGATGCTCAGCGACGCGGAGTTGCAGCGGCAGAGGCTGAGCGGCGCCCAGGACAACGCCTTGGACGCCGACTCGGCGAGAGCTCAAGGGATTGGAGCGGTATCCGACTCGGAAGCCGCTTCCGCGGCCCAGGAGGACCTGGAACCCCACAGCAGAGCCGCCGCGTGCTCCACCAACGGCCACACGTACACGCATGGACAGAAGGTAGGAAGGCGCCAGGGGCGATATTAAAAATCGGGTTTCCGTTCAGTCAAGCACACTGTGCCACATTAAAATCGTGTTGGCAAGTTCAACGAATTTTCAAAACATACAATTTTCCCACGTGATTGCTGGTAAAGAATAAAAACGTCTTACTACCTAATTTGAATTACATTATACGCAGTTTGGGTCCGGCTTTAGTCTTAACACGACATACTAAAGTTGAATGAAGGGTTTTCCTTAATTCTACTATTAAGGACCTAAGCATGGCTTTAACGGCGATCCTACGATATATAGGAGAACATTATTCCCTTACAATAACTTAAGTTCATGTAGACGGAAATAAAGTCTTTACTTGCACTTTCCAGCAGTCAACAGTTTGTGAAATAGTTTGAATATTTATTTGAGTTTCGGATTATCTCATATCTTTTTCTTAAATATGATGTATGTTCATTTATGGCCACCGAACAATACAATTTAGCACAGCCATTTGAACATCCACCTTCAACTGATGAGCATTCGTGGTAATTGAACAAAGGGATTGTAAAATTTGAAATTGTAGCTCGTTACGAAACATGGTACGATATGCACAGCAACCTACAGCCTGTCAGAGCAGACTTCCTGTTTCTTGGGCCAAGATGTAGCTCCTGCGCAGTCATTCATTATATCACAAAGCCCTCAAATCGGCTGGCATTGTGATTGATTATTTGGTTGTGGGTAAATGTACATATCCGCATGTGTATGCACATAAGCCGCAAAGCACCTGCCAACCGTCTACTGACCGAGCCCGGAACTCGGAGGAGGAACATTTAAATTGTGTGCTATATGCTATATGCTATATCCTTTCTACTTTCTGCCCGGTAACAGGTGCCCCGCCAGGATGCCTGCGAGGTGTGTCTCTGCATGGACGGCGAGATCTTCTGCTGGTGGGAGAAGTGCGGTTAGTTCTCCGTCGGCTTTTGCCGGCATGCATAATATAACGAGAAACTTTTGCCTTTTTCCCGCAGATAAGACCAATGTCAACAGGGCGAAGGCGGCAGCGCAGGCGATGTCGGGAGGCAGCCACAACGTTGGACTTGGACTTGGTGTTGGCGCAGGCGAAGGCAACGGCGAAGGCAACAGCGACAACGACGGCGATGGTGACTATTCAGATCCATATCGCTATGAGAGCACAACGGGAAAGTCAACAAAAGTGCATAAAGCGGCTAGGAAAGTTGGCAAGCGGCATAAGCATCACAAGAATCAAAAGAATTTTAATGACTACGAAGTTTACCACAGCCAGAGGCAGCAGCAACAGCAGCAGCAGCAGCCGGATTATAAAAAGTCCGTCATAAAGCAACAGCTCCAGATCCAGCAAAAACACAAGAGCGACGCTGGTGGCAACTACAATATAATCAAGCAACACAAACACGAGCAGCAACAGCAGCACAAGTTGCCGCAGCAGCATCAGCATCAGCAGCAGCAGCAGCAACAGCAGCAGCAGAATGTGGCAGCTTTGGCTGTTAATCAGGCGGCAAAGGCAACGCATTATCAGCAGCCAGCCTCAAGTCCGCCCCCGCAACATGGCCACCATCCGCACCAGCAACCGCATTCGTCCAGCAAAATCCTAAACTTCCCCGAAAACTTGCCAGCCCTGCTGTACTACGACTACAAGACCGAGGAGCACGAGCACCACCAGCACCAGCACCACCAGCAGCACTTGCTGCACGAAAAACAGCGTCTGCTGCAGCAGCAACAAGAGGCGTTGGCGCGACAAAAGGCCTCTGAGTCCGCATCGAGGGCTAGAGCTGGAGCTGGAGCAGCCGTTGAACTCGGCGCTGACTTGGCTGCTGATAAAAACTCTGATGAGGCGGAAACCGACAGCGATATTTTGCCAGAGCCTCCGACAAAGCAGCCCAAGGCAGCTGCCTCTGCCTCTGCCTCACAATGGCCAACCAGCAGCAGCAGCAGCACGGCCAAGGCGTTGATGACAACGACAGTCCGGGCAGTTGCCACAGTGGCATCCACGTCTGCAACGACGGCAAGAACAACGACAACAACAACGATTCCGACAACGACAACGACAACGAGGACAGCGACAGGAACAAATGGAATGGTGACAAGCACGCTGTCTGGTCCGGAGAAGTCCGGGCTCACAGTTGGAGCCACAAATGTGAGTTGGGTGGCTTGAGAAGGGTCCTTGCCTTTGGGTTTTTATACCCTTGCCGTAAGTTTGCAAAGTACTGCATAAAACATATTCGCCACAAAAAGTAAGCACTATGAAAACTAGCTTCATCTCTATAGAGACTTAAAATTAAAACAAAACATTTGTTTGCTTATATCCACAGTGTAGAGTTACTTATGTGAAAGGTACTTATGTGATAGTAAGTTCTATAACAACAGTAATACATTATAAAGATAAGCAATTATGTGTGAAAGGCACCTTAAAACTACAGCACTTTACTCCTGATTTATTTTAATAAATAGTGAGCTTTATAGTGCTACAGGGGTCTGTTGTATTTTAAATGATTTTGTGTACGTCTCTTAGATAAATGTATTTTGGCATTTGTACCCTGAAATCCCAAGGCTTAATTTAGCTGTCAAAGAAATATTTGGGCCATGTATCCTACTTTCGGTTGGTGACTGACAGTCAGCAATTGGTCCGCTTCTGTCAGAGTATTTACAAATTCGGTATCCAAAGCCTTCCCTTACATTTTGTGCATTTGGAGTGCGACCTCAAGAGCCTTTGCAAAGCTTACCCAATTAGGCTTTGGGGCACTGCCACTTCATTGGCTGCCTCAGCGAGCAGCTTGAACTTTACGCTTTTGGTGTGTCCAGTGAGCCTGAAATGCTTCCCGTAATGGGGTTTTTCATGCTCGAGCTGGTTTATTATTTACTATGCAGTCAAGTCGAATTAACAGTCTCTGTTTTATTTTCGCCTCGCCCCGGACAGCTGCAACATGATCGCAGTGGACCTGACAACGCCCCTGAGCCTGACGACGCCTTTCACCGCTGGCTGACATCCACCGAGCTGAATGCTGACAACACAAACTCGCTCGACGATAACTTGGAGCAGGAAACGCCGGCATCGACAATAATCGATGATGTTGGCACGGCGGCCAACAAGAGTGACAGGAGTAGCAGCAGCAGCAGCAGCAGCAGCAAAGACAATGGCAACGATGCCGTCTTCTTTCGCAGCTCGTACAACGATTACAGCAGTGAATTCAATGGGAGCGTTGTCAATATTGACATTACACTAACTGCAGTTGATGTGCATCCCCGTCGCCAAACGGATTTAATTGCAAATGGCAACAGAACGTCAGGCGTTAACGACAATGGCAACAGCAACAGAAACAGCAACAGCAACATCAACAGCAGCAACGATGGAACGGCAGGGAAAACAATGGACCCACAGGCAGACGGCAGCATGAGGAGCATCAGCAGCAGCAATCAGGATCAGCCTCAGCAGAGCCCTGTTGTTCCGCCGTACACGCTGACAACGATTATAACAACAACGCCACCGGCACCAGGGCGTATGTGCAATGTTTTGGGTAAGCAAGCAAGCCATCGACCCAGCGAAGGTCCACAGGGATTATTGCCACACAGAGAAACAAATGGTCTCAGGCATTCCGGGTCAAACCGCCATTTGTTCAAATTGCTTCCTTCATTGTCATACTTAAATATATATTTAAATAATAATAATCGCTTTTCACAAACTAATAACAAAAATGCAAGACTCTAGGCAATTATTGATTATACAAATCCCAATTGAGCCCTTTGATTTTGATTGGATTTTCGTTTATTGGGTTGTGATAAATAGAGTCTGGCTTAGAAAAGAAAGTTTTATACTATATTTTTTTATGTATTTAATCAAGTGTCTTATAATAACGAGTTTCTCCAAAGCTGAAAGAGCCAAATTTGTTTCTCAGTGTAACGAAATCAACCCTGCCTCGTCCCCTGTATTTTATTACTGCTCGTCACAATTGCTCACTTCCTAATCCCATTTAAACTGCAAATCGTACTTGGTTCCGTCCGTGTTGTTGCAGGCAAACTGTATAAAATTGGCGACGTTCTGCCACAGGATACGGGCAACTGTCTGCAGTGCATCTGCACGGACGCCGTGACACCCGACGAGATGCCGAGCGTCACCTGCAGTCCGCACAATTGCCCGCCGCTGGTTCTGCCGGATCTGTTCGACGCGACTGGTTACTGAGGTTACGGGTTTGTGCTGTAAGTTGGCGCGGACGGGGGGTGGTAGTGGTGGTGTCAGATGGTTGCTGCCAGGTGCCAGGTGCCACGCCCCTGCAGCGCATTTGGGCGGGAGGTGTGGGAGCTTGGAATGGATCGAATCGTGATTTAAATTTTGAAACCGAAGCCACAACTGCAGCAAGCCATAGCAAACGAATAGAACTCACACTCAGAGCCCAGAGCAAAACTCACTTTCATGTTGCATGTCAAGGTCTCAACAAACTCAATATAAATTGTATGGATTTCAGTGTAAAGCCCTCCCTATCACGAGTGCCCCGAGCACTCTCTAAAAACAAAAACCTATCAGCCAGCATATATTATATTCGTATAAAACTACATATATATATATATATTGATCTATACCGACCAGAGAAGAGAGAAGAAGGACGGATGTCGCAGTTCAGGCACAGTCTAGATTGTAAGCTGAATGTTTATGCATTTTATATGAATCCGAAGTCATCTCTCTCCACAACGTAGTTGATCGAAGCCCAACAAGAAACCATTAAATGTATACAGCAGTAGAAATCGTAATGAATTTATAGATGTACCACAACAAAAAAAATATATATATATATCAACATATAAATATATCTATCTATATCTATATCTATACCTCTATCTATACCTATGTGTGTATCGAGTTCAGTTGGATCAGTTTAAAGATTATTTCCCGACTGAGACAAAAGCGCGCAGAGTTTCCATACATTTAACAAAAGTAGGAAAAAACTTATACAAATATAGGCAACTAAATCTACGAAAAAAACTAAACAATGACAAATAATGAACAAACGTGTGTAATATTTTAATTTTGATATTAAAAACAAACAAAGTACTTCTCATTTGCATGCATGGACGTTATTGTTTCGCGCTTCTTTTAGAAATTTAACTATACGTAATCTGCGAATCGAAAAATGAAGTAGCGTGTATGGAGTTGTTTTAACAAAGCTGAACTTGGCAAAGAAAGACACCATATCGAGTAGTTATAACAATTTTAAGACATAACCCCTATTTGTATTTAATATATACTTAGAAACTCTCATAAAGATTCAGTGAATTCAAAATTTACAGCGACTTCCGAAAATGAATTTGTTTTGGTTTTTGGTGGCAAAGACAGCATTTATTTCAAAGCAAGTTTAGGCGTGATAAACATTGATTTATTCGGAAGGGGTTAAATTAAGTGAAACATACTTGAAAAGTAGAAAACAATTTCGATTATAAGGCAATTCAAAATAACTTCGAGCGAGTTTTTTTGTAAGCGAGTTCGAACAAAACTATAATGTCATATGAAACTATGAAATCAAAATGCAAAATATACGTACACACATACATATAAACCGAGCGTACACACAAGCAAACAAACATAAATATTTATTATTGATGTGCAAACAGAAGAGCATAATATAAATTCAAAGAGAAAATAGAACAAATTCTTCTTGGACGAGCGTATTTAAAATGTATACAAATATGCGTATTTATGTATGTGTAAAATAAATGTAACTACAACTCTCACTAATCTGCAAGCTCGCACTCAGATGCACGAGCATCTCTGTGTTTAAATGGAATTTGTGTTTGAAATCAAATGGAAATCAAATCGACATGAATAAACCGAAGCCCAACTAAGGCATTTCGAAACATTGCGTCTGTGTCCACTTTAATTCGGCCTATTGGGGAAAGGTAAGTTTGCCCATTAGTTAATATTTACTTTATTGTCTTTTTGGGCTTGTGTGTAATTTAATAACAGACTTAAATTTAAGAAGTATAAAATCATTTATATATTTCAATGTTAAATATGATGGTTGACACTGAAATGCGCCTTTTGACGCAGTATGAATTTACTTTCTCTCTGAGGTTTCAGCGTAATAAGGACTAAGGTTCAATGGAGCGAACCATTTTCACATCCGGCTATCCGCTCTCACTATCCGACTCGAAGCCCGAGTCCTCCGCCAGCTCCGCTGCGATCATGGCTTGGAACGCCCTTTGCAAGGCCACTGCCTCCCAATGGGCGGGATCAGGACCTGCGTGCGATTCTCTGGGTGCTCCAGCATTGTAGAGAAAGCCTGCGGGCGGCTGACTGCGACTGCGAAAGGATCTCAGCGACAGCTGATTGTCGCCGCCTCCGTCCATCGCAGGATGACTTTGCTGAGAGCGGCGAATGGCGATTGGAAAACAGCTTTTAGAACTGGGCTCTTTTGGAATTTTGATTGTGTGCCTTTCGGTGGGCATTCAAAATGTGTTTGAATATAACTCGGCCCCTTATGACAGGCCACACAAAGGCAATACGAATACGGAAATTGCCAGCGGCAGATTGGCTGTTTAATATTGTTAAATAAAGCGCATCGTGACGGCCCACTGCCTCCGTTCGCATAGAGGGTTTATTTGCTTTCCAAAGCCGACTGGGTGTGTGTGTGTGTGTGTGTGTATGCAGCGCAATCATCGCAGTGACAGCCGACCGCAGAGCACTTTCCATCTGTGTGTGTGTAACCGGAAGCGGAAGTCGCGTCCCGTCCCGTTCCGACCCGACCCGCTTCCTCGCATTACGCATACGCCCCGTTGTCTGACCGCATAAAGCCATTTGGCCATTTCGGGGACAAGCCCTAACCCACAGCCCACGCTGGGACAAAGTAGTCGGCCGCACAATACTTTGCTGTCAATTTGTGATAACGGCAGCTTTATTTGAAAATATGTGCGACTTTATTTGCCGGCTGCGCCGATCCGATTTTTGCTGCCACACAGGCAGGCTGACATCTGCTAGATGGTTTGATGGTCACCCCACAGTGGGCGGTGGTTTTGTGGGTGGTATGCCGATGGGACGTGTGAAATTGAATATTTACAAGAGCCCTTTCAGGTGGAAAGCGCTGCCAGTTAGAGGCAATGAATAGTTTGGCTTAAAGCGATTTGCGCAAACCGAGGACGACGCAAGGAAACCAACAACGGGCGGATTCGCATCCCATTTCAGCCCCAACCACACTGCGCGACCAGAGTTCATTTTCTGCGATATTATTTTTATGGCCAGCAGCAGTGCGGACCCCAAGGTCCCAGCTAATTAAATTTCCCATATATACGTGTGTTTGCGCACTCATATTTAAATTGGCTCCGCCCAAACGGCTGGATTCCGGACCCGGGAGTTGAGGAATGGAATGCACATTTTTAATTACGCTGCACATTTGCATTTGAATTGCGCATTTTACAGGCTGATAAGCCGAAATAAAGGCAACAGTTGTGCTGTGCTGTGCTGGGCCAAAGCCAAAGTCAAAGATATGTTGGCTTTAACCACGCCCCCATGCACTTGCACATTCGTGCGTATTTTTACAGATTTTCAGAATGTGTAATTTTCAAGTTGACAACTTTTGTCCCAAAGCAGTGACCTCGTTACAGCAGCGCAAGCACGGACCCACATAGCGTGGAATGTCGTATATATAGTATATAGTAGTTGGTATTGCATTAGAGCCTGTGCTCCTTCAGAACAGAATCGTCCCGCAGCCATAACCCCACACAGAAAGCCAAGCACAAAGGGTACCATTGGCGTGGGAGTGGGAGTGGGAGAAAGCCTTTCAATGAGATGCAAAAGAGAGAAAGTTGGAGAACAAAAGGCGCATGGCGCTTTTAAATTTAACTGCTTCAGCTACAGCTTCGATTCTGGGCGCTAATGGAAACATTGCATTTGTCCTTATGCCTTCTAGTCCTCATTCCCCCATCTCCATCGGAGCGATCGACCATGTTGCTAATGGCAATACATTCTCGAAGTTCAAGGATCCATTTCTTCCCATTCCGTCACTAACAAATGGCTGAAATTTAAAGTGGTTCAACAGCCTTTAGCCCAACCCTCTACCTGGGACTTTTTGCCTCTAAAACAACGAAACTAATCGCTTTGCCGCCCATCCTATTCCATGTTTTCCCACCAAACACATGCTGGCGGGGCTTGGGAAAAAGGCTTTTCCATCCGCCTACTGGCCCGTCATTTAAGCCATTTTTAATGACAGGCTGACGCCTGGCGCCTGACAACGGCTAATGATGGCGGCTAGCCAAAGTTTTGCGGCTTTTGCGGATTAAAATTGAAAACGCTTGCATTCATTAAATCTGCAAACGGGGAAAAAAAACTTAACTAGAACGTGACATCAGGCAGGTGACGCATTAATTAGAGTAGATATTCACACTGGCTCTCACACACGTGCCCACGAACGAAGTGAAAGTTTCCTCGGGCAGGCGGTTTAATTTCGCTAAGATGTGCCAGGCCACAATTTGGGTCAAAATGACTTAAGTTAAATTATTGCAAAATGCATTCCGCATCCTCTCTTGTGCTCCTCGGAATCCTGAAAGTGCGATAGGATGTATGTAATCAGGGCACGACTACGCTTATATGCATAGGTGTCCCTTAGGCGGGGCACTCAATCCCTTTGATAGTTCTCAATAGATTAAATTAATGTATTACATTATTCATTGAAAGGTTCGTTGACACACTTAAGCTTTGATCGTTAAGCTCCTTAGAGGCCGTCATATACACATATAAATCGTAATTGACGAATTGATTACATTGTGGGAGGGGGTGGCGGATGAGACTCGCAAAAAAGACGATCATGTTTTATATGGACTATATATACATACTATATGCATTTCAAATACATCCATTTCTACCATAATTGTATCTTATCTAAAGATACATTTCCGTGCGTTGCACAACACATCTACTGTAAGGCAGGAAGACCTTGGCGGTGTCATTTATTATCACCCAGTTAAACCCAAATTTTGCTGTTTTTAATATTAACTTTTTTCAGTATCCTTAACAACCGAATCGATCTGTTTCAAGATCTTGAAAACGATGCTAATGTGTTCTTCAAATCAAAAAAGTTTGTCGTAACGTTTTTTCTGCCTGTGCCGTTGAACTCGGATCCAGTCAAATCCAATGACATAGCGGAATGCTATGAGCCCCGTAGAACCGAGTTTTGAACAGTCAAACTAGCAAAAAGGACAAATTAAATATTAACGGATAAAGTAGTCCGTTTAACACTTTAGTTTGTTAAACTGAAAAAGCGCGTAATCCAAGTCTATGCAAATAGCTTAGCACAACTTTTCACAACTGTTCATAGAACATTTAACAGACTCTAACAGCTGAGGGTAACAACCAGCTCTTTTGCAGGCATTCATCATTCATTTTGCACCGGGTCTGGGCCCCAAACAAGAGTTTCACAAATGCTTTATGCCCCATTGTGTCCGTCGCCATACCCGCCCCAAAATTTTGGACCGGCTGATGTGTCTGTTACCTTAGGCCAGCCAGCCAGAAAGCAGTGGCAAATGGCAAATGGCTCCGTGATGAGCAGTTGATGGCCGTGACTGTGCCTTTGTACTGGGTCTTCTGAGTCTTCGAGTGACATCCGAGAGGTGAACATACAAATTAATCTTCATCTGGCAGCCACCGACCCACCGACGAACTGTGCCCCAGGCCTGCTCAAGTTTGCCATTTAAAAGCGGAAAAAAAGCGACCAAAATAGTTTCAGAGCAGTACAGTTCAAATTGGAAAGCTGCAGATATATTTTACGGAAAAAAAATCCATTTCCTCTGCTAAACAATTTTAAAAAAAGGCATTCCTTCAGAAGAGAGATTTAAAAAGTGGTTGCTAACGCCATCTGCCGGATGACCATGTCATTTTTGTACCCCGTACTCGTAGTACAAAGGGGTATGTTACATTTGTTCAAAAATATGTAATAGTTAGAAATATGCACCCTACAAACCATATATATTCTTGTTCTGGAACAATAGACAAGTCGATCTAGCCATGTCCGCCTGTTTGTCCGTCTTTCCGTTCGCCCACGTAACGCACATTTATTTCATAGTTTGGCCACGCCCACTTAGTCGGTCAATATCAGTCGACTCTTACATGAATTTAGCAAATCGCAAGTTATGAGCATTAATGTAATTTGTAAGGCTGATGGAAAATGCTTGTTTGGTCAAGTTCACCCATTCCAAGGGATTAAGGTTAATGATATAATATCTGAAAAAATCAGTTAAAAATTCTATAAGGCTTATTCCTTCTTCGAAACAGTTATGATTAGTCGAATCAATATAGATACGTCCTTTAAATAGCTGGCCATTTTAGGTTTGGGATAAACATAGTTTGAATCGACTTCTATTGCGACTTTAATTCCATTGCGCTAAGTGTAAGCCAACAACTGAATTTATATACGAAAATCCTTGGTGACTCGAGCAGTGCAAACAGTTCGTCGGTCACTGGCTTTGTGGACCTTTGTGTAATAACTCCGTTGAGGAATATCTTTCAGCTCGCTTCTTGTGTCTCCCCTCGGTTAGGAAACGCTGGGGCAAACAAATCTGGCCCGGCTTTCTCTTCAGTTCTAGTCACCCCAACGGGTATTTATCCAGCCAGGACAGTCACTTCTTCCACACTTTCCTTAATTACTGTCAGCAATTATGAACTGGTTTCATTGGCTGCTTCTGCCACTTTGCTACTGCTTATTGCATTCAGCTTCTGTTGTTGGAGCACACAAAATATTGTGGCTGATACGGCGAAAATGGTGATCTGTGAAACCAGTGATCTGTCAAGTGTTGCATTGTGTACCGACATTTTACAGAGTGTCAGCTCTTTTTGATTATTTTAGTTATAAGTAAAACTTTTATTTTTAATCATCAAAGGGGAGCGGTAATTTCGAACAATTTAATGTGAGTGGGCGGCTAATTCCATTGCGAAATGCACAAATTGTGTAATTTTCAAGTTAACAGCTCTTGACCTGGTTCGCTGCGCTTCTGTTGATTTGGTTCGCGGAATTTCGCTTGTTTTGTAGCAGCGCGCAAATATGCAAAAGCGCAATTGTGTGTTAAGTTGGCTTTGTTGCCGCGTGTGTGTGTTGGTGGGCCTGTGCACACTTTTAGGCTCAGAGGTAGTAGAAACATTTTATGCGACTGCCACAAGTTTGTTGGCGAAAGTTTAAGCCCGCAAAACTTTTAATACAGTGCCTACCGATTGTTCCCGAACAGGACCAGGACGCCAGTGGGCCGTCAGCCCACGGTTGCCAAGAACAGTAACAAGCTTTTAGCGAATATACACACATTAAGCCCTTTATTTTTCGGTCTGTCCTTTATGAAAGGGTTCGGGATGGGACCAGAAGTTGAACACATACTTTGGGAGCCGCCTCCTTTGGCCACCTTTCGCCACCTGGCCTCGTGGCTGTTGGTGTTTAACTAACAACAGCATGGGGTAGTGCAGCTCGAGTACAAATGAGGAAAATATGCTTCAATAACAAAA